GTCCCTGTATTTATTTATTTTAGAGAGAGATGACACAAGTGGGGGTAGGGGTGGGCAGAGAGAGACAGAGAAAGAGAGGGAGCAAAGCAAACTCCCCGCTGGGTGCAGAGCCTGATGTAGGACTAGATCCCAAGAACCCCCGAGTTCATGACCTGAGCTGAAATCAAGGGTCAGATGCTCAACTGACTGAGCCACCCAGGCGCCCCCAAAATGGGTTTTTATGTGTTATTTGTCAATAAAGCAGATGTACAATGTGTGCCCAGGACAGAAACAGAGCCCATGCTTTGAAGTTTGGTCAAGTTATTCTGACCTTGGTAAAAGTTAAAGTGTAACTTCCCTGAGACCACAGGCATAGGGCCCACAAACGTTAGAAAGACTGAGTCTGAGCTAAGATATGTATTACTTTTATGGAGAAAGTCATAATACTGTTTTGAAAGCCATTAAAGTTGACCTCAGAAATACACTATGTTTATGACAAGACGATAATACCTTAAAGATGTCATTTCTCTCCCAAGTTGATCGGTAACTCAAATGTAATCCGTCAAAACTCCAACAGGATTTTTAAAGTAGGCTCCATGCCCAATGTGGGGCTTACACTCAGGACCCTGAGATCAAGAGTCACATGCTCTACTGATTGAGCCAGCTAGGCACCCCCAGCAGGATTTTCTTCGAACTTGACCAGCCAATTCTAAAATTTACAGAAAGAAACAGAGTCCAGAGTAGCCAAGACACTTCTGAAGTGGTAAGACTCATTGACAAAGGTACCAAGATTTTCTATAAAGCAGCATCATTGACGACTATAGGGAATTAATTTAACACCAGAGAGACGTACCAACACAACAGTGGAGTCTAAACTTGATATATGATCGAGTAGTGGGGAAAGAATGGGCTATTAAATAATGATGCCAGAACAGTCTACCCACAGGCAATTCAAATTGGACCCTTATCTCATGTCATACATAAAAATTAATCCAAGTGGATTAAATACCTACATGTGAAAAACTTTCAGTAGAGGGCGCCTGGGTGGCTCAGTCAGTTGTGTCTGCCTTGGCTCAGGTCATGATCCCAGGGTCCTGGAATCAAGTCTCCCTCTCCTCCCCACTCGTGCTCTCTCTCTCTCTCTCTCTCTCTCTCTTGCTCTCTCAAATAAATAAAATCTTTAAAAAATGCTTTTTTCAGTAGAAACTACAGAATACTTCTATGACCTTGGGGGTAGGGGCAGAGTTCTTAAGTAAGACACAAAATGCCCAGATCATAAAGGAAAAGATTGCTAGTCACTTATGCTACAATTTAGAATCTGTGCTTCAACAGGAAACCATCAAAATCCTAGAGGAGAACACAGGCAGCAACCTCTTTGAACTCGGCTGTAGTAACTTAAAAAAAAAAAAATTTTTTTTTTTTTAAGTTGGCTCCACACCCAGCATGGAGCCCAACACAGGGCTTGAACTCACAACCCTGAGATCAAGACCCGAGCTGAAATCAAAAGTTGGATGCCTAACAAACTGAGCCATCCAGGTGCCCCAGCAACTTCTTACTAGACACATCCCTGGAGGCAAGGGAAACAAAAGTAAAAATGAACTTTTGGGAGTTCAACGAAATAAAAAGCTTCTGCAGAGCAAACGAAACAATCAACAAAACTAAAAGGCAACCTACAGAATAGGAGAAGATATTTGCAGATGGCATATCTGATAAAGGGTTAGTATCCAAAATATATAAAGAACTTATCAGGGGCGGCTGGGTGGCTCAGTCGTTAAGCGTGTGCCTTCAGGTCATGATCCCAGGGTCCTGGAATGGAGCCCTGCTCAACAGGGAGCCTGCTTCTCCCTCTCCCTCTCCCCCTGCTTGTGTTCCCTCTCTCACTGTGTCTCTCTCTGTCAAATAAATAAATAAAATCTTAAAAAAAAAGAACTTATCAAACTCAACACCCAAAGAACAAATAATTCAATCAAGAAAAATGGACAGAAGACTTGAACAGACATTTCTCCAAAGAAGACATACAAATGGCCAACAAATACATGAAAAAATGCTCAACATCACTCATCATCAGGGAAATGCAAATCAAAACCACAAAGAGACACCACCTCACACTGGTCAGAATGGCTAAAATTAACAACATGGGAAACAACAGATGTTGACAAGAATGAGGAGTAAGGGGAACCCTCTTGCACTGTTGGTGGGAATGCAAACTGGTGCAACCCCTCTGGAAAACAGTATGGAGGCTCCTCAGAAAGTTAAAATAGAGCTACCCTACGATCTGGCAATTGCACTACTAGGTATTGACCCAAAGGATACAAAAATACACATTCAAAGGGGTACATAGACCCCAATGTTTATAGCAGCATTATCAACAAGAGCCAAACTCTGGAAAGAGTCCAAGTGTCCATCGACTATTGAATAGATAAAGAAGATGTGTTGTAGATATAGATATATCCGAATTGGGTGTAGAGATTACTTAACAAATAAAAGCCTAAATAAATAAATAAATAAAAGATTTTATTTTTTAAGTAATCTGTATACCCAACACAGGGCTCGAACTCACAACCCCAACATCAAGAGTCATGCCCTCCACCGACTGAGCCAGCCAGGTGCCCCCCAAAATAAAATCTTTAAAAACAAAGTATAAAAATTTCTGCCAGTTGAAACCAGGAATACAAGCCCCCAGCAGGCCCCACAATTAGATATATGGCTCCTAGCTGCCTCTGATCAGAGTTAAGTAGCCCTTAGTTACCGTTTATTTTTTATTTATTTATTTTTCCTTAGTTACCATTTAAAGAAACCTTTAAAGTGGCCTCAGGAAATAACATGAAGTTGCTTCTGAGAAAGTGTGTGGGATGCTATTCTGCCCGAGGTGACAACCATAAGGCGCTGCGTGTGCAAAAAATAGTCATTGTTTGCAGTTTAGGATTAGTCACAGGATGTAGACCTTCTACCTTTGTACTCAAAAGGTGACTGATGCAATCTGGCAACAAGGCTGTGCAGTCCCAGGCCCTTGAACCTGAAGGATTGCCTCACCACCATCACACCAGACAGACGGGGTCACGCCAGGAGTGACAAAACAATTACGGAAAGAAATATTACAGCTGACCTAATCCCTAACTGAATGACCCCAAGACCCTTACTGTGAATTTTCACCCTTTAAAACCCCTGTTCTGGCGCTTGGGTGGCTCAGTCTGGTCTGCCTTCAGCTCAGGTCACAGTCCCAGGGTCCTGGGATGGAGTTCCACATTGGGCTCCCTGCTCAGCGGAGAACCTGCTTCTCCCTCTGTCCCTGCCCCCGCTTGTGCTCTCTCTCTCTCTCTCTCTCTCACACACACACACAAAAAAAAATAAATAAATAAAATCTCTATTAAAAAACAACAACAACCCTGCTCGGCTGCACCTGGCTGGCTCCAGGAGTAGAGCAGGCGACTCTTGATCTCAGGGTGGTGAGTTCCAGCCCCACGTTGGGCATGTTGCCTACTTAAAAACACATAATTAAAAAAAAAAAAAAGGAAACGGAAAGAAAAGAGAGAACACCCTACTTGTAAGCCCTCAGGGAGTTGGGTCTTTAGAGCATTAGCTCCCCGTTCTCCTGGTTGGCAATAATCCAATAAATAGCTTTTTGATTTCTTTCTTGCAAACACTCAGTGGGGCACTTGTTGGCTTTGGTTCACATGAGGCAGATGAACTCTCCTTCCGTTAGGTTATACAGTCGACAAGAAAAAAAGTGCAACTCCGTAGAAAAATGGGCTAAAGATATGAATAGGAAGGGGCGCCTGGGTGGCTCAGTCAGTTAAGATATGAATAGGCAGTTCACAGACAGTGAGAACTGAGGGGCAAAAAAAATAAATAAATAAAAATAAACACACATAAAAAGAAGCCGAAACTTATTAAAAGTAGAAAAATGCAAATTAAAGTTATAATAAATTATTAGTATCACTCCACACCATACCCATTAGGTTGGTATGTTTAAAATATGTTCAGGGTCGGGGCGCCTGGGTGGTTCAGCCGTTAAGCGTCTGCCTTCAGGTCATGATCCCAGGTCATGACCCCAGAGTCCTGGGATCAAGCCCTGCATCGGGCTCCCTTCTCAGCGGGAAGCCTGCTTTTCCCTCTCCCCCTCCCCGACTTGTGTTCCCTCTCTTGCTGTGTCTCTGTCAAATAAATAAATAAAATCTTTTAAGAATTTAAAAAATATATATATGTTCAGGGTCCTGTGATAGCAAAAAATTTTAAATGTTCTAAATACCCATTAGCAAGAAAACAGAACATGGTGCACAGTGAAAATTAGTGGTTTTAGGGGCACCTGGGTGGCTCAGTTGGTTAAGCATCTGACTCTTGATACCAGCTCGGGTCTTGATCTCAAGGTTGTGAGTTCAAGCCCCACGTTAGGCTCCAAACTGGGTGTGGAGCCTACTTAAAAATAAATTAAAAAATTAGTGGATTAGAAGCTGTGCCCCTGAGGAGTTTATGAGGTTGAGATTAATGGCAAATTTCGGTTTTATTTGATTTTTAGTAACCTCCACATCCAACGTGGGGCTGGAACTCACAAGCCCAAGATCAAGGGTCATCTGCTGTACCAACTGAGCCAGCCAGGCTTCCCTGAGACTAGCAGAAAACTTCAGTTTGTTTTTCAGAGACCTGCTTCTCTCTGGTCAGCCCATGTTTCTTTTCAGATAAGGCTCAGCCTATGAACAAGCAAGGCCCTGCCGTCCTCATCCAATCTAAGACCCCATTCAGTTAACACTGGCTCTTGGAAGATATGCACAGCCCTCTCCTTGTCCTATAGGTGACGACCCATTGTCAGGGGCCTCATTTGGCCTCATTTTATTTATTTATTTTTTAAGATTTTATTTTTTTATCATTTGGCCTCATTTTAATGTCAAGGCTCCACCCAAAGTGAACGTGAGAGGTATGTGGCCTCTACGTTTGCTCAGTGCGCATGCTCCGTGCTCCATCCTTCCTCATGAATAGTCACAATTTCCCCTCCCTTTTCATCAATATGTAGTGCCAACCCCTGTGATTATAGAAACTGTTCTTAAGTTAGGTGGGGAGAGCGATTTTTGCACCGACTTCCTGTCTCCTTGCTTGGCCGCTTTGCAACAAACCTTCTTCTCTGCAAGCGCCTGGTGCTATGGTGTTTGGCTTTTCCGTGGCACGCGAGCAAATAAACTTTTCAGCTCGGTAACAAGTATGGCGACTGCAAGGGGACTCTAAATCCAACTGGGTACTTTTGCCGGTGGCTGCTTTGCCCCGTGTGGGGGACTGGGTTCCGAACTCTCTCCGCGTGGCAGAATCAACCTTCGGTGCTTTCTAGTTTTACTTTGGGGCAGAGAAACTTGTTTGGGGTTCGGAAGACATCCCTTGGGTGAGTAATCTCGGTACAGATGACTGACTGCTGATAATTTTCTTTGTGTTCGACCTCAGCCGAGAGGCCTTGGGTAGGGAATTTTCCCTTTGGTAGAAAGGAAAACAGGAGTTATGCTCACAGAGGTTCTCTTGGCTATTTGGATTTCTTGGAAAACTTGTCTGTGTGAGAGTGGCTCTGTGTGACCTGCTGAGAATTAGTATTGCAAATACGAAGACAAAATGGGAAATAAAAATTCAGTCCCAAAGTATACCCCCTTGGGCTGCATCCTTCGGAACTGGGCAGTGCTCACCAATGAGTTTATGACAAAGAAAAAGATGATATTTTTCTGTAATACTGCCTGGCCACAATATTCCCTGGATTCGGGAGAACGATGGCCTGAGAATGGTTCGTTAAATTATGATACTATCTTGCAATTGGATTTATTTTGCAAAAGGGAAGAAAAATGGTGGGAGATCCAATATGTACGATCTTTTATGTTATTATACCAGAATAAGGAAATTCAGAGAAAATCAGTGATTTGGGCGCAAAAGCAGAGTCCCCAGAAGAATGTAATTTCACCTGATTCTCATGCTAGGACAGATGATTCATTACCCATTCCGTTAAATACTGCCACTCCGTCACCTCCGCTTGGAGGGCCCCGGGCCATTGTCCCAAGGCATTCGGCATCTCGGGCCCCAACTCCATCCCCTTCCCCTCCGGATGCCGCAGGACCGCTAGTGGTCTCTCCCTCTCATACCTGCCAGGTTACCCCGTTGGACCAGGGGGCCACCCAAATTCAGGCAGGGAGATTCCCCTTGGGTCAGCCGCTGATCAGAGTTTACGGGAACGGGCAGCCACACGGTTTCATCTTTGTGCGTCCCCTGTTTTCCACCTCCGACCTGTTGAATTGGAAAACCAACATGCCTCCTTACCTAGATGACCCTATCAAAATGGAGAATTTTTTTGCCTTGATTTTTGCTACCTACGACCCAACTTGGGCAGATATTCAGACCCTCCTAAATTTCTTCCTCACATCAGAGGAACGTAGTATGATCTTAGAACAGGCTCGCGCTGAAGCTGATAAGATGCACGAGGAAGCTCCGTATTCTCCCGTGAGAGCTTTCGGATACTTGGCCATACCCACAACCGACCCTAGATGGAGCCCTAATGATGTGGGGGATAGAGACAAACTTGAGCATTACCGGAGCTGCATCCTTAAAGGGCTGAAGAATGGAGTCCCAAAACAAAGAAGCTTAAATAAAATTCTGCAGGTTAGACAGAAGCCTGACGAGGACCCCTTTGACTACTTGGAAAGAATGTTTAAGGCTTATCGGCAGTATGCTGGTATAGACCCGGAAGCTCCAGAGAATATACAAATGGTAAATGACACCTTCATAAGGCAAGCTGCCCCTGACATTCAAAAGAAATTGCAAAGAGTGAGAGGGGCTTTAGAAATGCCTACATATCAGTTGGTTGAGATTGCTGTCGATGTTTTCCGAAACCGAGACAAGGTCCGGCGGAAGGAGGAAGAGCGCAGGAGGCGGCAGGAGGCGGCCTTGCTGGCGGATGCCCTGAGGCAGGTGTGGTCAGAACCTCACCAATGTCCATACCAGCCTGGTGCCCGTCCCAAGGTAAGATACCCGAGGCCCTCAAATTCGAGATCCAGAGGCCACCCCACTGTAGGACCACACCAATGTGCCTATTGCAAACGAGAGGGACACTGGAAAAAGGAGTGCCCCTCTCTGAATAAGTATTGAGAAGGTGACTACTAGCCAACCTTCCCGATGCCCCCACTCCCCTGCCCTCCCCCTATATCCCCCACAAGAACTATCCAGAATCCATGGGGCCCAGAGACTCCTAACAGCCCTACAGCCTTCACTGAAATTTCCCACGTGGAGCCCCGGGTCACCTTCTTGGTGAACAAGACACTTAACAGATTTCTTGGTAGACACTAGTGTTACTTACTAAGTACTGAATACCAGGGGCCCTGGGTGGTTCAGGTGGTTAAGTGACTGCCTTCAGCTCAGGTCATGCCCTCAGGGTTCTGGGATCGAGCCCCGCACCTATTTTTTTCCTTATCTTGTAAATTCCTCACGAATGTATTGTCTCTTTGTCTAAAATGTATAAAAACTGCCCGCCTGGATCATTCTTTGTCTTGATTTCATTATTGGGCTTTGTAACAAAGGTTTGGGTTTTTTTCTCCTGTCCTGTCTCATGTAAATTGAATTCTTAGTCCAGCTGGAAGACCTTGAGGGTCGAGGCCGAATTTTCCCTCCCCAATAGTTAGCATAGTGGGCAGGATACTTTATTTCTGCTGGGCAACTGCTCGCCCCAGACACTGCTACCACTGAGATCCTGGGACATCTGACAATACAGCTGGCAGAAGGTAAGATTTTTTTACCATGTGAGCCTTCTGGAATCTCTGTCTGCAGAGTCTAATGGAACAAGAATGGTGAGAATCTTTTTTATTCTCTCTAAATTTAGATTAGCAGGAGAAAATATTGTGGGACTGGTTCCTTGGGCTTAGCAACTTGTGGGAAAAAATTGGCAGCACACTCTGGTTGCTGATCCATTTTCTCCCAGGGATGGTCTTTGTTGGTCCGTGTCTTTTGTGTCCTTTGTTCATAAAAAGGAATGACCATAGGGCAGGCATAGACCCTAGAAGTGTGATTTTTCGAGCCAGCCTGAACTGAACTGAACTGCTGTGAGTCCCCTATATATAAATCAGATGGAAGTTTCTCCTTTTGTCTTGTTCGATGTCCTAAGAGCTTGCCTTTGTGTCCAGTGAGAACATTCTCTCTGGTCTCCATCATCCAGAGGGTGCACTTACTGGGGTGCACCTTGGCGCCCAGTCAAATAAGCTGGGGATCCTGGACACACAGTTACAAAAAGCACACTCTGCCCAGCCGTGCCACCTCTCAGGAGAGTTTATCATAAGAAGTCACAGCCCGTAGGGGGCATTTGTGGTCTCAAGGGTCAGTGCAGGAAAAGTCCCATTCCAATTAGTGCCTGCCTGGTGTCACAGATTAGCAGGTCTGTGACTGGAGGCATCTCAGATTTGGGGGAGACCAGAGACGCAGTGTTCACCACATCATCCTTACCACCTATGTAACTAAGGTCTTTGCTTTCTTAGATTATTTTTGGGGAATAAACTTTTGGATCGTGGGGACTGCATCATCTGTGCCTTGTCTAGATGCCACTTAGGTTTTTGGTTAAGCCATTAAAAAGCTTATTGGTTTGAGTCACTACTGAAATTAGTAAGATCCTATCCACCAATGGCCAGATGGTAGATCCTTTCAATTGGCTGTATTTAAATAAGTACATCGATATTCTTAGATATTCTTTAGAGAGAATTCTGAATTGTCTAATTAGAATAACAGCTAACCTTGGGTAATGTGATGTGATGTGATGTTCGGGGTCTGAGAGCCAACCGTCAAGAAAGAATTCTTGAGAGGTCTTCAGTGCAAAAAAAGGTGGTTTTATTAAAGCATGGGGTCAGGACCCGTGGGCAGAAGGAGCTGCACCGGGCTTGTGACAGGTGGCTGATTATATACTTTCAAGTTGGGACGGGGTTAGGGAGAGCGTAAGTCTGTTAAGGAATTTGGAAGCAAGGTTTCCAGGACCTTGCAAGGCTGGCTGCTGTTAAGATAAGGTCTTTGACTACTGTCTAGTAAACCCTTAGTCATGAGACCCTTCACATGTGTATCAGTGGGCCATATGCTTGGAGGATGGTTGCTAGCATGTATCTTGGGGAAGTTTCCAAAGGCATTTTCATATGTTAAAGTAGACTTACAGGACCCTGGAGGTCGGGCTAATGTCAAGCTAAGGTTGGCTTTCGCTTTAAGCAAAGTATTAACATGGAGGCAGTTGAGTTCCTGGCGGAAGGCCCTCTGCCTCTCTTAAGTACTTGTGAAGGGGCTGGAAGTTGTAGGGCAATTTAATTTTTTCCACATTTCTTTTGCCTTTGTTCTCTACATCATTAGGGACTCCCCTGACAAGATAAAAGAACAAAAATTAGACTTAAGGCAAATCAATGTCCACACCCACTGAAAATTCCCCTTCTCAAAGTCGAGCCCCATTTGCCTGTTTCAACTTCCCTTACCCTACAAGATTTGCAGACAGCACTCCAGCCTGATCTCTAGGTTCTAAGTATACTATTACTCTTGCAAATGCCGACAGCCAGAAAGTGAATTCAGCAGAAGCCCCTAGGACACATGGAACGGCTTGCTTTGCTATAATCAGGCTCTGCCAGCTTCAGGCATTTCTGTACAATAACCCTTACAGATGTATCCTACACACAGCAGCCCCCCCCACACACACACGCGGACACTGAGAAGGATTCCTATCCCTTGAACAGCCGCAGATCTTTTAAGTGATGAAGCCCTTGTTCCTCCACTTTCAGAAGATCCTACCAAACTTAGAAAGGAATTTTTATTTACTTATTTTTTAAAGATTTTATTTTTTTTAAGTCATTTTACAGCCAACGTGGGGCTTAGACTCACAACCCCAAGACAAGAGTTGCATTCTCCACCCACTGCCAGCCAGGCGCCCCAGAGGGGAATTTTTTTTTTTTTTAATTAATGGCTAAAAAAACTTAACAAAGGAATTTTAAAAATAAATTAAAAATTAATGACTATTCACAACAGCACTCACAGAGACCTTGACTGGCTGCCACAGGGAGCTTTTCTGGCCCAGGATTGATTACACTGCGATTAGGCAGGCCCCATGGCCCCTGGAAGAATGCCTCCCCTGCTTCACAGAGGAAACGGGACCCGAATTTCTCCTAAGCCCTCCTACAAATGATCTCCCAAAGGTCAATATTCAGAGGCTGATAGAAGCCCACGTTAAATTGTGTACTCAGAAAGAAGGCTTTTGTTAAATTGCTTTATAGATTTTAGGAAGGCAGAAATCCTTTGATTTCCATTTTTGTTAAAAATCTCCCTGATTTAAGAAAAAAAATAAGTTGGGGCGCCTGGCTGGCTCAGTCAGTGGAGCATGGGACTCTTGGTCTCAGGTTTGTGAATTTGAGTCCCGCGCTGGCTGTGGAACCTACTTTAAAAAGTTAAAAAGGCAGGCCAAATATTTTGATATTCAGGCTGTAACCCAGTTCTTTGGGGGAATTAAAAACAAGTCACAGCCCACCTACCTTTACTAATCTTAAAACCTCATCTATTCCTCTCAAAATGTTTATAGATATTACAAAAGATCGGATTATTGGAACAGAATTGTCCTGTACTTAAGGAAGAAAGAAGGGTAAATGTTAAATCGCAAATACCCTGAAACTCTAAGGGAAAAAAAAAAACAAACCAAAACCTTGCATTCTTTCTCTGTCTCTTAAAGTTATAGATCCTTTATTGTACACTACATCTGAATTTAAGGATGTAGCATATGTTGGCTAATTGAACTTTAAACTGAAAGAAAGACGAAAAGTTATAAATCCTATCGTGTCTTTGAAATGTAAATACAACACGCCAGCATCTAAAACTGAAGGAAAAAAAAAGGATGGGGGGAGGACTTTTTAAAATACAAACTGCTATTAAGGGGCTCTTGTGCTCAGACTCTAGCAATTCTGGTAACAGGCAGCAGGTATGCTCCAAATATCCACCTTGGGGAAAACTTGGATACATTCCCTATGCCTTTCTGATACAAATTTTCTACCCTCATCTTCTCTAGGAGCTAAGAGCCATTCTTTGAAATGCAAACTGCAGGGAAAAGTTTTTCATCAGGAAAAAGAGAGAGGGGGGTGGTATTTAGAAATTGGGCCTATAATGTCCTCTTCACGAATATTAATAAAAACCAAAGTTGTAAGGTTTTGAGGCCAGACCATGGTCCCTGGACCTGTTTTGAAAGCATAAGCAGAGCTATAATTGTATTAGTTGCATTTTGATTAACTTACCTCCACGTTCTGTATTGTGCGCTACCTAATTATGTTTCGCGCACCTCTTAACCTCATGCACCATCGATCATTAACTTTGCCTCTTTACCCCTACTCCCTGTTTACCCACTGCTTGTAGAAACCTAATGGGGACCAGATGGTAACATTTGTCTTGCCTTATCTGAATGTTCCAGGTCCCCAATAGCACCTCATAGTCCAGAAGAATGTACATCTCCAGATTGTTTCAAGACCCCCCTCCCCAAGGTTTCAAGGAACCCCTTATCCTCCTCTCTTGTTAAAAGCTGTCCCTGGGCTCAACAGGGCAAAGCAGCTTTGGGAATGATCCCCTGCCCTCTTGTTGGGCTGCTCTTCTGATACTAAAGCTTTGCTTCAAAACCAGTATTTCAGGGGTGCCTGGGTGGCTCAGTCGTTAAGCATCTGCCTTCAGCTCAGGTCATGATCCCGAGGTCCTGGGATCAAGCCCCGCATCCGGCTCTCCGCTCAGCGGGGAGTCTACTTCTCCCCCTCCCTCTGCTTCTCCCCCTGCTCATGCTCTCGCTCTCTCGCTCGCTCTATTCTGTCTCTCTCTCTCTCTCTCTCTCTCTGTATCTGTCGTAAAAAAAAAAAAAGTCTTTAAAAAACAAAACCCGGGACGCCTGGGTGGCTCAGTTGGTTGGGCGACTGTCTTCGGCTCAGGTCATGATCCTGGAGTCCCGGGATGAGTCCCACATCGGGCTCCCTGCTCGGCGGGGAGTCTGCTTCTCCCTCTGACCCTCTTCCCTCTCGTGCTCTCTATCTCTCATTCTCTCTCTCTCAAATAAATAAATTTAAAAAAATAAAAAACAAAACCAGTGTCTCAGACATTGGTTTATTGCACATGGGGTGCACAGATTTGCTAATGGTAACAATTTTTGTTTGCATCTGTCTGGAGATGACTCTCTCTCTAGAGAGAGAGAGAGAGAGAGAGTCATACCCAGATATGTAGATCTAGATCTAAATATACAGATATATCTGATCTATT